AAAGTACATACTATGTGATTCCGTTTATATGAAACACTAAAGAAAACAAACCTCATCTATAGTGATAGGAGATGAGTTCTTCCCTGTACCTAGCATTTGGGAGAGAGTTGACTGAAAAAAACACAAGGGAACTTTTAGAGGTGATGGAAATGTTCTAAATCTTGATTGTGGTGGTGACTAGAAGTTTGTCAAAACTCACTGAAATACATATATACGATGGATGCATTTTATTGCGTATAAACTATACCTCAATGAAATTGATTTTTAGAAAATGCTATTGAGGCTTCCAAATAAGAGAAATTATATCTGTTTGAGTTAGTTAGGAAAAACTTCTTGGAGGTAAGGAGTAAGGGAAAAGTTCCTTGAAAGGGATTTTAAAGGAGTGCCTGGCTGGTTCAGTCAGTAGAGCATCCGACTCTTGATCTCAGGGTCATGAGTTTGAACCTACATTGGGTGTAGAGATCACTTAAATAAATAAAACTTAAAAATAAAATAAAAGAAAGGGAGATTGAGATTTCACTATGCAGAGATGAAAGACATTTCTAGAGTAGAAAATAGTAAGAACATAAAGTATTTTCAAGGAATAGGAAATGTTCAATAGATTTTAGTAGTAAGTTTTTAATTATGTAATTGTGAATCAGTTCAGTTCAGGCATCAGAATAAGTAGACTAGGTAGCCTCCAAAGGCCCTTTGCCTGAAGTCTAGATTTTTTGATAATCAACCTGGTCATTAAAATGTATTATTAAATTTTTTTTTCTGATTTTAATATAAATTCATTGAAGAAATTTAGAAAGTATTTTAGAAGCATAAGTAAAATTAAAATCACCCATAATTCATCACTCATAATTCATGAGTTGCTCTTAACTCATTGAAATTAGTCCATTTTTTCCTATGCGTATTCATATTGTGGGCATTTTTCTATGGTAAACATTTTTTTTTTTTTAATGTTTTTTATTTATTTTTGAGACAGAGAGAGACAGAGCATGAACGGGGGAGGGGCAGAGAGAGAGGGAGACACAGAATCAGAAGCAGGCTCCAGGCTCCGAGCCATCAGCCCAGAGCCCGACGCGGGGCTCGAACTCATGGACCGCGAGATCGTGACCTGGCTGAAGTCGGTCGCTTAACTGACTGCGCCACCCAGGCGCCCCTATGGTAAACATTTTTAAGTGCACATTTAAAAAAATTTTTTTAACGTTTATTCATTTTTGAGAGAGAGTTGGGGGGGCAGTGCACAGAGAGAGAGGGAAACACAGGCCCAAGCAGGCTCCAGGCTCTGAGCTAGCTGTTCACACAGAACCCAATGCGGTGCTCAAACTCACAGAACATGAGATCATGACCTGAGCTGAAGTCGGATGCTCAACCAACTGAGCCACCCATGCGCCTGGTAAGTGCACATTTTTAAAATTTAATTTGGCTGTGAATTGAGAATTATTCATCAACTAATTTATTATTTGCCTGCTTTTTTTTTTTTTTTTTTTTTTTTTTTTTTTTTTTTTTTTTTTTTTTTTTACAGCTCTCAGATGTAAAGGGTGGAGTAAATCAAGCAGCAGCTACATTTGGATTTGGCAGTATGCAAGGAATAACATTTGGGCCACCAGGTAAATGATAAAGTGATGCAAGACTTTATCCATTTTGGAAACAGGATTTTAGAGGTTTCAGATCATAAAGTCTGAAGGTGTGCTAAGGGACATTAAATTACCATTGCATTGCAGATTCTACTGTCTTCCATAATGGAGTTTCAAAGAATTTGGCTCATCAGTCATTTGTGAAATGGAGGTCAGATGGAGCATGTTTTTTGAAAGACCCTATGGCTCAAGCTTTCAAAGTGTATCTTAGGAGTTTTTTCAAAAGTTTTATAGGAATACATAGTAACTGTTGTAGCAGCACCACAATTGAGGACCTTCTTTTCACTGTGTATAACAGCATAGTATTGTCTCACGTGGCAATACTGTGTCACTTTTTGTTTTTGGGTTTTTTTTAGTTTAAAGGACAAATTTTTTAAGTTAGGACACAGGTGAACAATGGTTCTTAGAGACAAATAAAAATGCAAATTAGGACTGAGGGTTTCAACTGTCATAAAAAGTATGCAAAAAATGGCAACTCGGGAAAAATTTAGGCAAAAACTAGAGATGTCGATTATTAGAGTATGATTTCATCATATTCATCTTAGTTGAGAGCTGGAAGGGGCTTGAGAATCTATATAGGAGGAAACTGAGATGAAGTGACCACTCTGTATTTGCTTAAAAGAATATAGCTGGCGCGCCGCCTGGGTGACTCAGTCGGTTAAGCATCTGACTCTTGGTTTTGGCTCAGGTTGTGATCTTGCGGTTGGTGAGATCACATCCTGCGTTTGTCTCTGCACTGACAGCATGGGGCCTGCTTGGGATTCTCTCTCTCCATCTCTGTCTCTCTGTCTCTTTCTCTGTCCCCCCTCCCCAAAATAAATATCTTTTTAAATTAAAAAATTTTTAAATAAAAGAATATAGCTGAGGAAAGAGTTACTTCTTTGATAATGGATATAGCTGATTTACTTGGGGCACACAAGCACAGAAAGCGAAAGTCCATCTCCTAATCCCAGAGGTTTCTCAAAGCTGTTTCCATGAGTGTGGATAATCATGGTACAAATGAGATCAGTACAGCAGAAAGACAGGACGACAGGGTTTTAATGGGTTTGTTCTAGCTTCTTCTTTTCACTTTTTCCAATAAAGCTTCTCAACATTCAAACATGGCAGAAATAAGAAAAAAAGGAGGGGTGGTTAATATGGTTACATTTTCTGACTTATCATAGGTTATTTTTTCCTTTTTCTGGTTTTTGTAGGTTTTCCAGTGCATAACAGCAGCAGTGCTAATGCTCAGAATTTTAGTTTTAAACCAAGCTCTGGATTTGCCTCTGCCGCTTCTGCAAGTCCTTCTGTGTTTGGAAATACTCCAGCGTTTGGAGCCGCACCCCCTGCCAGTTCTGCCATCACTACTTCCACTCCAACATTTGGATTTGGGAAACCTGCAATCACATCTGCTGCTTCATTTTCTTTTAAAAGTCCTGCAGCTTCCGGTTTTGGATCACCTGGATTTTCAGGATTTCCAGCTCCCATGGCAGCAGGCTCTGTTGGAGCCCCAGCCTTTGGAAGTGGCAATTCTGTGGCTGGTTTTGGTAATCTAGGCTCACATTCTCACAGTGCTTTTTCCAAGTCATCCAGTGACACCTTTGGAAATAGCAGCATATCCACCTCTTTACCAGTCTCAAATGGCAGCATCACAACAGATAATGTGTTATTCACACCCAAGGATCAACTAACAGCAGAAGAACTGGAGCAGTTTCAATCCAAGAAATTTACTCTGGGAAAAATTCCATTAAAGCCACCACCTGTGGAACTTCTAAATATTTGAAAGGACAATTTTAAATACAGAAAAGAACAGCTCTTAAAGTTATTTTGAGTGGTTCATATATAATTTCTCTGAGTGGTTCAAATATATACATATATATGTACATATATACGTTTAAGGAATATAAGCTTTCAATAGTAACTTCAGGGGTTTTGAAATTCAATATTTTTTTCATAAAAAATACTCAAGAGGTTTTTTGTTTTTTTTTTACTTTAATTATGAATGGAACTGGAAAAACTGTCAGTGTGCACTGAATTCTACATCACTTTACTGTCATACCCTTTAAAGGTTTACCTGTAAACATTTTTTTTTTAGGAAGGAGATCTTTCCTAAAGCCATTAGGGGAAAAAAATGCTTAAATATGTAGCTTATTCACCAAATAAACATCAGTAACATCACTTTCCTTTATGTTAAAATTCTCTTAAAGAGAAATAAGTTTTTAAAGGGCAAAAATGTATTTTTCAGGTCTGTGGAGACATTTTCCCCTCATAATTTTGTTTCCCCCTCAGTTTTAACTTTCTCATGGGCCACTATTTGAGTATTCTTCATCAGTTTTAGGCAGATTCTTAAATGGGCCCAGGATTGTAAGAGAAATGGAAATTGTGGTCTCATGTGAATAAATAGTGTCTGTGGTGGGGTCAAGATTCACCAGCTCTAGTGAGCTTCTCTTAGAATTCTCATACATGTTGGGTCTCCCTGTGTCCTTAGATTGAGAGAGGAATGCTTCTATCTCTTATGTACAGTTGACACAAGAAGCCAAAGACTTGTCATGAGTTGAGGCATATGTATCAGAGTTCTGTGCTCCTCCCTCAAGCCTCCAGAAGGACATAGCTAGCACTACAAGAGCAGTTACCTGACATAGATCTGGTGTTGAGCTGATATAAGTGAAAACAGAATCTTACCTAATAAAAGGCACTCCAAATGATTTTAGCACATATGCAAAGCATTCAGTCCTCAGAGGATCCAGTTGTTACTTCTTTCAAAGAACTATATGACTCCCAGCTAACATTTCTGGAAACCCAAAATTTGGGATAGAATCTATAGCCAAGGGGTATATGTTTGGAACCATTCTTGGTGTAGAAATGGTAAATAGATCCTAAGTTTCTGCTTTGGCCTCAAGCTCTAAAGACTTTTCAATGTTTATTCCAACTTACAGATGACGCCAGGAATTTCCTACCCTAATGGAATGAACCCTGTGCTACCAGACTTACCAGTCTCCCATGGGTCCCAGCTGAACTTCCCAGTGTCCTGGAGGCTCTGAGGATGCAGGTTAAGGGTCTAGTGTTTCTAAATTTGCCTGATGAGAAGGATTACCTGAGGTGTTTGTTAAATTATATATCCAGAATAATACATATCCACAGGGCTAGACCTGGGGATGTGTTTTTTACCAAGTGTTTCATGAGATTCTACAAGCAAATTTAGGAAACAGGGGCCTATCTAGTTGCATATACACTACTCAGTAATATGTGATTTGGGAGTTCTGTTGTAATTGCTGAAGTGTATTTTATGTGCTTTCACGCACACGTGCTCACCTCCCCCACCCCCCACACACGGTGTGGTGAACTTAATGAGATTCAAGGTTGTCAAATAGTGCTGCTGTCAAAAAGCACAAAGAAGTGCTATGGGTTACTTAACAGTGTGAGGAACTAAAGCAAAGATGTTTACACAGTAGAAACCAGCAGTGTGCGTGCATGCCAGTATCAGGAGTCAAAGAAGGCCAGCTTAGACCTGGCTAAGAGGCAGCAGTGCTTCAGAAAATAGAAACAGGTACCAATGAGGTGGTGGCCAGGTAGATTGAATTTCAAGACCCTGAGAGTGAGTGGAAGGGAAAAAGCAACCCCAAGAGCATGTGCTACCATCTAGATTTATTCAGTAAGGCAGGAACCAATTCTGGGTGAGCTGGTCTAACTGGAAGGTACACCCCCAAATAAGCAAAATCCACCTCCCTTCACAGCTGCTGCAATGGCTGTCCCTGTTTACCCAGGATGGGAGCAAATTACAGAATTGCAAATAAGGTTTTATTACAAGTAAACTTATTTAACCAGCTTGGTTGTGTGATCACAGATTAGAAGTCTAATAGCTGAGAACTGATTAGAAAAGGAGAGAAAAAAAGCTGAGATTATCACTGTTCAAAAGGCATAACATGATTTAGCTACACAGTATTATTCATAAGAATAAAATAATTCAGTCTAGTGTCCAACAATACTAGACAGCCTTTCTAAATGGCCTAAAAGAGGGGTGCTTGGGTGGCTCAGTTGGCTAAGCATCCGACTCTCAGTTTCAGCTCAGGTCATGATCTCACAGTTCCATAAGTTCATGCCCTGCATGGGGCTCTGCGCTGACAGTGCAGAACCTGCGCGGGATTCTCTCTCTCTCTTTCTCTGTCCCCTCCCCCCTGTCTCTGTCTCTCTCAAATAAACTTAAATGACCTAAAAGAGAATAACTTGGAAAAGACTTTCTTCTGTAGTCAATGGAGAAAAGCCTATTATAAAATAGTATGTATAATGTGGTCCATTTTAGGGGGAAATTGTATATTCATAGGGAGAGGAAAGCCTGAAAGTTCATAATAGCTCAGATTTATTACTGTAAAAAAAAAATTCACAATATTAAATTTATCATCTTAACTATTTTTAAGTGTATAGTAGTGTTAGGTGGTGTGTACAACATTCACATTGTTGTGCAACAGATCTCTAGATCTCTTTCATCTTGCCACACTTGAAACTATCCCTTGTTTGTATGAACCGCATTTTCTTTAACCATTCATCTGTTGATGGGATTTGGGTTGCTTCCACCCAATGGAAGCTACTGTAATAATGCTGCAATGAACACGGGTGTGCAAATATCTCATTGAGATCCTGCTTTAAATTCTTCTGGATATATTTCTAGATGGGGAATTGATAAGTCAATGCAACTCTTATGTTTAGTGTGTTGAGGAACCTCTACACCACTTTTCACAGCAGCTGCACCATTTTACATTCCCAGCAGAGTTCCAATTTCTCCACATCCTCTCCAACACTTACTTTCTTGTTTTGATAGTAGCCATCCTAATGGGTGTGAGGTGATATCTTATTGTTGTTCTGATTTGCATTTCTCTTGTGATTTGTGATATTGAGCATCTTTTCAGTTGCTTCTTGGCCATCTGTATATTTTCTTTGGAGAAGCATCTATTTAAGTCCTTTGCCAATTTTTTAATCCAGTTATCTGTTTTCTTCTTGAGTTGTAGAAATTCTCTATATAGTCTGTATATTAACCCTTTATCAGATATATGATTTACAGATATTTTCTCTTATTTCATAGATTGCCTTTTCACTCTTGATTGTTTCCTTGGACAGATGGAAGTTTTTTCGTTTGATGTAGTCCCATTTGTCTATTTTTGCTTCTGTTGTCTGTGCTTTTGTTATCATATTCAAGAGACCATTGCCAACTCCAGTGTCATGAAGATTTTTCCTATGTTTTCATCTAGGAATTATATAGTTCTAGGTCTTACATTTAGGTATTTAATCTGTTTAAATTTATATATATGGTGTAAGGTAAGAGTCCAATTTCATTTTTTTTGCATGTGGATATCCAGGTTTCCCAATACCATTTGTTGAAAAGACTGTCTTTTCCCCATTTTGTAGTCTTGGCACCTGTGTCAAAAATTATTTGGGTATATATATGCAAGAGTTTGCTTCTGGGCTCCATTCTGTTTCGTTGGTCAATACATCTGCCTTTATACCAGTACCATACTGTCTCATTAGTGTTGCACTGTGTTATGCTTTAAAATCAGGAACTGTGAGGCTGCCAGTTTTGTTCTTTTTCAAGATTGTTTTGTATATTTGGGATACTTTAAGATTCCATATAAATTTTAGGATTTTTTCCTACCTCTGCAAAAAAAAAAAAAAAAAAAAAAAAAAAAAAAAAATGTATATACACACACACACACACACACACACATATATATACATACATGTATGTATGTATACATGTATATAAAAATATACATATATATATGCCATTGGGATTTAATATAGATTGCATTGAATATTTACATCACTTTGGATAGTATGTATATTTTAAGTGTATTAAGTTTCCCATTCCATAAACATGGGATGTCTCTATTCATTTGTATTTTCTTTCTTTTCTTTAGCATTGCTTTATAGTTTTGAGTGTACAAGTCTTTTACCTCCTTGGATATGTTTATTCCTAAATATTGATGCCATAGTAAATGGGATTATTTTCTTCATTTCCTCTTTGTATTAATTATTGCTAGTGTATATAAATGTAACTGATTTTTGTGTTGACTTTGTATCCTACTACTTTGCTGAAAATTTTTTTAAGTTTATTTATTTTCAGAGAGAATGAACATAAGTGGGGGGAGGGGCAGAGAGAGAGAGAGAGAATCCCAAGCAGTCTCCACACTGTCAGCACAGAGCCTGACTCAGGGTTTGACCTCACAAACCATGAGATCATGACCTGAGCCAAAATCAAGAGCTAAACTGACAAGTCATCCAGGTGCCCCTTTGCTGAAATTATTAATTGTAACAGTTTGTGTGTGTGTGTGTGTGTGTGTGTGTGTGTGTGTGTGTGTGTGTGTGTGTGTGTGTGTGTGTGTGTGTGTGTGTGTGTGTGTTGAGTGTTTAAGGTTTTGTACATATAAGATCAAATAATCTGTGAGCAGAGATAATTTTACTTTTTTTCCTTTCCAATTTAGGTACCTTTTATTTTTTTTTGTGTAATTGCTTTGGCTAGCAATTCTAATACTATGTTGAATAGTAGTGTTGAAAGGAGGCACCTTTTTTAAAAATATTTTTTTAAGTTTATTTTTGAGAGAGAGAGAGACAGAGTGCTAGCAGGGGAATGGCAGAGAGAGAAAGGTAGAGGGAGACACAGAATCTGAAGCAGGCTCCAGGCTCTGAGCCTGATGCAGGGCTCATACTCATGAGCCATGAGATCATGACCTGAGCTGAAGTCAGATGTTTAACCTACTGAGCCACCCAGACGCCCTGAAAGGAGGCATCTTT